CTTTTTCCTGCAACAACTGCTGTAATCTCTCTTCTGATTTCTTTTCTTTTTCATCCAACAACTGCTGTAATCTCTCTTCTTGTTAATTTTCTCGTTCTTCTGGTTTCTTTTGCTGTTCTTGTATTGCTGCCATAAAATCTGCTAAGCTGAAGTTTGATTTGCCGCTTCTCGTTTCCATCTTCGTTTTCTTTTTTTTTTTCAGTCCCACTCTCTGACACCAATTTGTTACGTCTCTGGTCGTTAATTAATTTCCCGTATAATTTCTTTCGGAAGAAACTTTAGCGACACAATTCCTTTCTTAAATAAAACTAGTTTATTCTTTCTCAATTCAACCTTGCAATACACTTAATTTTCACAGTCACCTTAACCTCAACACACGCTATAATTTACAACGAACGTTTCACGCACTTTATTTACTACCACGCTTAACACAATTGCCCGTCTATATCTTCAATCTCTCTGTCTGCTATAGAATCTCTTATTGCCGTCACTTTATTTACCGGCTTATATAGTAAATAGAGGGCGTCTGGAGAACACTCCAGGCTTCACTAAAGGACATGATCTTTCTAGAATCTCATGACGTGTTACTAGCGTCACGTGACTTCCGCTGTCGTAACACTATTATGTTAAATGTATGTTATCGATATTTTCATGTCTCACTGGAATACACTTTTACTGAGTAAAAGAAATCAGTATAAAGGCTGTCTTAAAAAGTATTCTTTAAAAATTCTTAGCGGCCTTTCAGAGCTTTATAAAGCTTATTTTTTGTTTTATTTTGAAAACTACGCTATTAAAATGTGGGTTTTTGGAAAGGCAGAATGTATACCCAAATCCATGACTTTTAAGCAAAAATTCTTGAATACTATGAAACTCAATTTTGATTTCAGAGCAAAACATAATGGTTCTTAGTCATACACTACGCTTTTCATGAAACCGACAAACAGATAAAATTCAATCAACACGCGACATTGGGTAGCACTGCTAAGATATACAAAACATAACACCCTTTTCATACTGATTTAACTAACTTGATCAAATTGTGGCAATCGGGAGTTTGGAAATTTTATCATTTTGATAGAAAAAGTACTGTTCACTGAATATAAATCATTACATTAATTATTTTATTTTCATTTTAGTTCTCATAAAACCATACATTATGTTAACAAGAGGAAAACAAGCGTGGTTGTTATTGTAATTCGAGAATGATTGGGGGAATGTCACCTGAATGTGTCCTCGTTTCTTTACAAACAGGCCCGGCATGGCCAGATGGTTAGGGCGCTCGACTCGCAATCTGAGGGTCGTGGTTCGAATCCCCCTCCCACCAAACATGCTCGCCCTTTCAACCGTGGGGACGTTATAATGTGACGGTCAATCCCACTATTCGTTGGTAAAAGAGTAGCCCAAGAGTTGGCGGTGGGTGGTGATGACTAGCTGCCTTCCCTCTAATCTTTTTTTTTATGTTTCTCATAGTCCTTGCGGACCGTTGAGCCGATGGCAGAGCAAGATCTGCCATCGTTTCTAAAGCTGTTTCTTACGTCAAGGATGCAACCCACTTGACAGCCTTCCCTCTTTGAAAGGACGAGCATGTTTGGTGTGACGGGGATTCGAACCCGCGACCCTCAGTTTGCGAATCGAGCGCCCTAACCACCTGGCCATGCCGGGTCCACTCTAGTCTTACACTGCTAAATTAGGGACAGCTAGCGCAGATAGCCCTCGTGTAGTTTTGCTCGAAATTCAAAATAAACAATAAACAAACTTTACAAACATTATTTCATTAAATTTTCCCATTTGTCATATGTGTTTTGAGAACGTTATGAATACCACAGACAATTCCAAATTCGGATATATATCTACCAACAGTCGGAATGAATTTCCACTATCTTTGGTTTCGCTAGATAGTAGATACCGACGTCGGGAATATCGTTATTCAATTTATGCACGTACTAATTAGGTGACGAAGCGTTTAGCTACCGTATGAGGTTTTATTCGAAACATTTTTTCATCAGATCGATCAAATATACGTTTGAAAGAGAAAAAAAGATATTCAAAGTGTATTTTATTTTTGAATTTTTATATGAATATATAGTTTATACTTTTTAAACCAAACATTTTCGAAAATAAAGCAAATGTTTCAAACAACATTAAAAAGTAGAAGGATTATTACAATCTGAATCAAGTAAAACCAAAACTTTTCTTCTTCAGTTACAGTAAAAACTGGTGAAAGGAAAAACATCCCGATAAAACAAACTTACTAACGAAAACAAAATAAATAGTTCTAAGATTTTCTGTGTTTTGATATCAAATTAATTAGTTACAGAGAGCTCACTTATGACACAGGAATATTCGTTTCAAAGGTCATTTTAATCAAGCGTTATTTGTTTTCTCGGTTCTCATATTACAAACAACAAACACAATGTATCATGCTAAGGCCGATAACTAAAGGGACATCTTCCTATTCATAATAGTGTAGCGGCTGTTTATTCTGTGTAAACAACTCATGAATACTGTTGATGTAGGGATATTGGGATGAGTACACATAATACAGAGAATCATAGGAAATGTTTCAGATTTCTACGCCCCCCAGTGGCGCAGCGGTATGTCTGCGGACTTACAACGCAAAAATTCGGGTTTCGATGCTCGTGGTGGGCAGAGCACAGATAGCCCTTTGTGTAGCTTTGTGCTTATTTACAAAAACAAAAAAACAGATTTCTACATATACACAAGCAGTTTCCACTATCGTATATGGTGTGTCATGGCCGATGCAGATAGTTTCTATCTGTATAGTGTATTCTGTTTAAGTTGCAGTAAAGTTTGGAAACCACGTAAAGTCTGCCGACCATATTGTTTTTGACTAAATTTTGTATTTTTTCTGTTAACTCCAAGATGGTTTTAAAAATACCGTGCTATAAGTTCTTGTTCGTTACAGTTAGTTTTGATGCTTGTGTAATTAGGTCTGACTCTCTAATAAGACTGACTGTTCTAATAAGACATTTTAGGTTTTGGTTTGTTTGTTTTTGAATTTCGCGCAAAGCTACACGAGGGCTATCTGCGCTAGCCGTCCCCAATTTAGCAGTGTAAGACTAGAGAGAAGGCAGCTAGTCATCACCAACTCTTGGGCTGCCCTTTACCAACGAATAGTGGGATTGACCGTCACATAATAACGCCCCCACGGTTGAAAGGGCGAGCACGTTTGG